CACACTCTGGGTTTGCCAAGCCTTTGGCTTTTGCCCAGCGAAGCCTAATATTTTCCAGGGTAAGCAGGGTATGTCCCCCTGCACAGAAACTGCAAACTCCACTACAGACAAATAGAAATGTCCCTTCATGTGTGGAACTCACCATAAGTTTGGTTTGGATATTATTAAGCATAGGTGATAGATTTCCATATATGTCGCATACCTAGCTGACCAAAAAAATACATTTCACCTAAAATGAGGATCAGAGGTTTCGACAAATCTATTGAATGTCTGTGCCATAGGCTACTTAGTGCAAGGCATTGCTCTAGTGAAGGAGATTAATCCTGTGATGAATGTTCAATTGAAATGCATTTTCTACACTCATGGAATTTTAAGTACTGTATAAGGATTTCTGGTATCCTTTGTGTAATATCAAATTCACCCCTATAATTCCTGAGTTTGCAGTCGGTATTATAAAGAAAAAGATTGAAATATTACATTTTTCAGAAATGGCCAAAGACACAGAGATAATAACAGTATTGTGAATGGTGTACCATAATATAAAAATGACGATTAGGACTGACGATAATGATTAATGTGATGACTCCTCTACATCCTTCTCTGGAGCCATACTATTGTATTACCATTTCCACATATTTCAGCAGTGTTTCTGTTACAACATTAGTATTTAGGCTGAGAAAGTGATCCAATGGGAATTACTAGGTTCTTAACAATATTGATTGTGCAGAACCATTGAACTCTCCAGCACAGAAGAAGGCCTTATGACCCATTGTTTATGGGGTAGCTATTCAATCCGTGGAGCAATCCATTCAGCCCAATTCACTTGCCTTTTCCCCATAACCCTATAAATACTTCATGTCAGATAACTGTCTAGTGCCCTCTCGAAATCTAATATGGATACTATTTCGATCACCCATCCCACCAGGGCAGTCCACGTCCTAACAACTCTCTGTGTAAAATAATTTGTCTTATTTTACCCGCTCGAAGTGAAAGATGCCATATCAAATGCAAGGAATATTATAATTTTATATTAATGATTTTTGAAGGAGTTGATTTGATTCTGGAAACCAGTCCCATGCATCCGATAGGCGCATGATATAAAAATCTGGCATCTTGGAGGTTCAGCTCAACTGTGCTGTTATATTGCGTCCTACTTATGGTCTCTGCAGATTGAGAACCCTAAATATTGCCAACCTCCTCTTGATGAGCTTATTTAATAAGAAATGTAGCCTCTCTCCACAAGGCTCCCAAAGCCACACACAAGCAAACTCCTCTTGCACTTCGACGGGGAAAATAAACATGTTATCCAACTGAAAGAGCAATCGATGCCCACAACAGAGGTATCCGTGCAAAATCCATCAATCCATTTCCTGCTGTAAATATAATTACAGCAATCGTTGCATGATTAACCATCAACCATAGATAAAATGCAATCTGTGCACTGTGCTATTGCATTGCGATTTTTAAATCGCCCAAAATGCACACGGCATCCAGTTCAACAATGTTATTCCATCACTGGCTTCTCTCCCTCACACACAGCCCACAGCGCTTAACGTGGTTGTTTTCTGTTCCCATGTAATTGTGGTGAAGCTGAACGTCTCTGTGATCTGTTGCTGAACGTGATTGCAAGACATCTTCCTCGATAAAATATGTAAGTCCAAGTCAGCTTTGAAACTTCAACTGCAGCACTCAGATAGACATCAAAGTCCAGGTTCGGATCGAAATAAAAAGCCCGAGGAATATCAATGGATTTCGTTTATTGGGAACATGGAGATGATCGCTCATCACATCTGCCCAAACTTTGCACCATCACAAACTCCCATCACAGTCACAAATCACATCAAACGATCTGATATTAATCGTTTCAGACACTGGAGCGTTATGGATCTCAACAACTGTATGTGAAATCGGGGAGTTAACGTCCGTACACTGCAAACACGATTGGGACCCAATAAGTTGCAGGTTCCGGATGGTGCTGTTAAGTACACCAATGCATTGAGATCATTTGTGATATTTCCGTAATGCAAAATTTCAAACGTTGGTCCTTTGCGGCACATGAAATAGCAACAGTGCGTGGAAAGCAATACCAGTGCCCGAAACCCTATACTGCAGATCAGTGTGTGAAGGATCAGTGAGTATTTATGTTGATGCTATCCTGCCCCCTTGCGCTAACAGAACAGACTCCAAGCCCTGAGAGAGGGAAGATCTTCCAGAGGCCATAAATGAATCATATTAACGCTTGTGTTCCAATGGTCAGGCACTGAGCACAGCTACATCTCACGGAAAACAACTGCAAAGGGCATGTCCTGCATTCAGACTACTTGAAACTTAAACTCACACCGTTAATATTGATTACTCCCGGATGACAGCTACACTGAACGTTCCTCCACTTTGCATCAAACCGATGCAGCGCTGAATTGGCGGATATTGTGGGCCGAAATGGCACGTTGCATTCACACGAGAGAGAGAGAGAGAGAGGGAGAGAACAGGATTTTTTAATAAAGCTAATTTGTGAGTGATATTGCTCCCACCAGCTATTCGTAAACAGGCACTGCAGCACCGGAATGATGCAAATAAGCAGCAATAGTGGAACCTCTCGGGTGTGAACATAATGAAGTATTACATATATGTATATCTATACATATAGAGTCAAATTACAACATGCACTTTGCTGTCGCTTGGGTCCTTTTGTGTACTGCAGAATGACATGAAACATAATTGTTGTCCTGTATATTACTTCAAGTGGCATTGCCTGAGCTGTGTTGGTGACTGTTGGTTTGAAGGGGAGAGAGGCTGATCTACAGTAACAGTACTTTACTGCTCTCTCTCCCTCTCTCTCTATTGAGCCACCAGCTGACCAGTCTGCAGCTCACTCACTTTCTCATCTCCAGTTTACCTTTACCCCCTCGCCCCCCCCCCCCCCCCCCCCCCCCGACCCCAACCCCAGGACTATTGACGATCTTGAGGCACCAAAAAAAAAGTGTCACGAAACATTGCATAAACATTCACAAATCGTGTTAACGAGGTGTTTCCACAACACATCAGAAGAAGCGGAAAAGAATCTGAGATGTACTTGAACGCTGTTGAGCAAAATGCCCAACGTCTCGGCACACAGTAACTTCATCCTATTAACAGTGCATTGGTATTTATTCCAAAAGGAGTGAGAGGAATTCAGAGGGGCGGCAGAGGAGTGTCTGTTTGCCTTTGGGTTGAATTTTGAACAGAATGCCACAAATCAAGATGTATTTTTTTTCATTTGAAACGAGGATCAGATAACCAGTTATAATCCTCCACCCACACTCCTCACCTGCCACCAGGTACCGCAGCTCAAGACGCGTTTCAGCAAGAAATATGTCATTTCAGATGTATTTGAGAGGTGAAAAACAATGTTAAAATCGTACCTAAGTCTGTCTCCGGTACCCGGCTATATTTACTTTTAAAAAAAATCTTTTTTTCTAAAAGAATAATCCTTTTAAAAGTGCTTTAAAAATGCAATTTTTCAGAAGTCAGTAAAGGGTAGAAGGAACATTTTAAATTCCGGATGAGCTCTGGGCTAATACGGTATATATATATATATATATTTGCCTTCTTAAATAGAATGTATGTGGTTCCTTGTGTACTGAATGAAGTCATCTTAATTGCTGCGTTTTATATCCCCTTCACAGGCAGCATTGTATGGCATAACTGCACACACACACACACACACACACACACACACACACACACAGGGTGAGGGAGGGAGTGGGGATCACAGACACCCCCAGAAACACAAACAGCAGCTATCCAATGTGGCGACGATTTTGTACGAGTCCCCAGCGCCTCGTTAGAGCACAGTGTGTATGAGCAGATCTCCCCCTCCCGTTTCTAACCTTCTTTTCTGTTTCTCCAGTGACTCCCAGAAATGCTTGTGTAACACTTTCTGGGCATCGCGCTGTGATAATCTGGTGCAGTGGAGCTAATTCCTCGCTCACCTACTCCACCACCATTTTCAGCAATGTGCAAAGAGTACTTCTTCATATATATATATATATATATATATATATATAAAGAACTGTATACCGTTAGGCGATGCTTTGTACTTTTATATGGGGCTGAAGAGGGGCATTAATTTCCTTTAGGGGAAATAATAATTAGGACGGTCCCTTTTTGCATTGATCCCAATGGCAAACTAGTCTTATGCATGGTTCAGGTTAGTGTTTGAGATTGCTAAGTGTGTGTCTGTAAATGTACAGATATGTTCCAGGGTGTAAGACATTACTTTCAAGATATTATCCTCCTGTCAAGATCACAGAGCCGATGGGGATATTCTTTTAGCATTGCAGTGGTATGACGTCAATGGTATATCACCTTTTTTCTGATGTGACACAGCCTCCTGCTGACATCAGAAAGAAGCTCTTATAACTTGAGTGATGTGACTTTGCTTTAATGGCCATAGATGTATCGTATGTTTAACACTGAACTTTCTGATCGGATGGTCAGGGCGGTGCAAGGAGATTGCAGCACCGGTGAGATGCCACAATGCATAACCCACTCATGGTCTCTGAGACCCGACCCAATAACCCACTGGTGACTCCCTCACCCATGGCACAGCACGTTGGGTCATTTGATGGGAGGAGTGGTACCGTTGACGATATTTAACAGCCCGCAACACGACACTGAAGCCATCACCCATCTCAGACGGTTTGCACCACAAATGTTGCCTCAGCCAAAGCCTGATAGGAGCACACAGATATACAGTACCACACTTGCATGCGACGGTGGGCATAAGGCAAGGGGGGAAAGCCACCTTAAACGCATCACGAAGGTTTAATCTTCCACATATTAAGAACAGAACAGCCCAGCTAGCACAGGAGAGGTACCACATCACATCCAGACAACCCCCAGGCTCAGGCACATCTGTCAAAGATGTCAGCTCAGTTGCCATTGGCGATTACACTGAGGGACACAAGCATTCCGACACAACCATACAATTAGCAGCCAACGTCTGAAAGGCTACTTACACGCATTAGTTATGGCGAAGCTGTTTGCTACCTCCAAATTGTCAACATGGGGCGTCAGCCTTAGTTCATGTGAATTGTGCTGAAAAATTCCTAAACGAAACGCGCTGTATTCCTGATCTGCTCCTCTCGGAAATAACCCTCCTGTAAAGAGAAAGGGGGGGAAAAACACACACACACACACACACAAGAGTGTTTACTGGAACTAGAAGAAATTCAGCATGAAGGTGAAATGATCATACAGAAGGTAAAGTTAAAGCCAAATGCACTCGTGGTCAAAAATATCACGTCGATCGCCAAGTTATTTAAATTGACATGATAGAGACTGCAATAACAAAGCATTAAGAAATGCTACCGTAAACGAGGTTTTTTTTAATATATATTATTATATTACATATATATATATATATGCATCTACTTTTTTGCAATCTGTGAAAAATATTCAACCCCAACCTAACGATTCGCGACAGGGAATGCAGATGCAACGGCGATCCATGGATGAGACTATATGAGCGAACGAACAGAACACAGAAAATGCAAATTGCACTACTTTTTTTTTTGCCCTTTTTTTCCTTTTTTTTTGCAGAAACTCACCTATTTGCACGCTGGTTGGGGAAGCAGCGGCAACCGCCAGTCCGCAAAACCAAGAAACCAGGAAGGCAGATATATGCTGCATAATCTTTTGCATTTCCGAAGAAAACATTGCAACCAGGGTATAATCCTTCCTTTTTTTTTCAGGATTGTAAAGCTCAGATCCCTTGCATATTGTCGCTTCAAGAATGTGATGGTGGGTGGTGGGTTGGGGTGGAGGGGGTGGGGGGGAGGGAGGGAGGGAGAAAAGCAGAAGAATAAAAAGGTAGTGAGGGCTGACTCTTTCTCGATTGAAAATAGCAGCAAACGGGAGCAGGAGCACTGGGGAGATGTGAAAAGCAGTGTTAGCACTGCGCTTTACCCAGCATCACCTCTCACTACATCCACACTGCCAGAGACATGTCCTGATTCTTAATAAAGCCGAACCCACACGAACACAACCGATCAGTCACCGAACTGAGACACGTCCCTTCCTACCAATCCAGAGAAGGCTTCCACTGTGATTCATTAAAACCTCCATGTTTTTCCTAAAGCTTTGCTTTTAGTCGCCCCTATTCATTTTCATCTCGTCGTTAACACTGTTTTAATGGTGTATTTGCAAAACTGGCAGAAGCCAAAGCAGTTGGTCGGGAAAGGAAACAAATCCCCTCTGTGAAATGTTCATGCAGGTGACTAATTGTGTCCTTGACACAGTTCTTTGAGATTTATCATGTTATCGACATGCGACATGTTAATCATAACATGTTAACGCTTTTCAGTCCCCATACATTCATTAACTCACTCGTCTGAGATACTGAGATGACAGTAACCACCTACATACATTAACCTAATGCAAAATGCTGTTCATATAAACTGCAATTATATCAAACAATGGAGAATCTACATTTCTTCAAAAATAATAGCTTATAATAATAATAATAATAATCCCTGCTGCTTTTTTTAATTTGCAGCACAGAATTTTATTGACCTACAATTCCAAGATATTGATTTCAATTTTGCAGTGTTTGATGTTATCCAACGTTCAGCATCTACAGGATTGTTGGAAAGTAATTTCGACCAAGAATCAGGGTCATGGACCACATCATCCCTCCCAATGTTTCTCTGAGGATTATTCTCATTGTGGTTATTAATGCTTTTTTGCAGACTGTAAACACAGACACGAGACGAACACTTCTTTGCTAATATCAGGTAATCGATGTATTAAAATTTGGCGCGATCACTGATACCTTAATCGGGGGTGTATGCAGTTTTTTTTTAATCGATAACGTTAACACCAATAACTCGACTCAACTGTGATCTTCGTGTGTTTTGCACATTATACGCACGTTTGGTCAACCTTCCAGACAAGACTGGGCTGTGTTTTGGAGCATCTCTGCGACCCACATATTACACCATGTGCTAATTTGGGTTAAGCATAAATGAACAGAATATTGAAATGCGTTGCACAGCTTTTGCCAGAACAGCTTCATGACCCAAAACAATGACAGTAAATCACATTTTTTTTTTGTTTTTTTTTCGCAGCCCAAATGTATCAGCCGAAGTGACACACATGACATGAGACGCGATCTTATTCTTGGTTAAGTCTGTTGACTCCCACGGCGATTGCAATGATCGGTGGGTCCCATCCGATAAGAACGTAAGAACGAAATGCAAACAAAATAAAATCGGAGGCGACGTTGTGATGTGGATTTTGCACTTTGCTTCCAATTTCGTGACCACTTTGGATGGCGACTGAAAGATTCGCAGCAACGCCTCGTCGGGACGGGGAGACGCGTCCTTTTTGTTTAACAGGAGGACAACTCGGTGGAAGAGCTAAGAAAGGAAGGACGTGATGGAGACCCATCGGAAAAGCTCTTCCTTGAAGAAAGTTAACAGGTCCCCGTCTTATTTCTGATCGAGCAGTGACATTACTGCGCGGGGACTCGATGTGGATCTTTGCATTGCAAATCCCTTAAATCATAAGCAATAAAAGCTAACGGGGAGGGGGTGGGGGGGGGGGGGGGGGAGGGGGGGGTTGGGGGGGGGGGGGAGGAGATGGGGGAGAAATCAAAGTCTCGGATCGCTCGGGGTGTAGGTCACAGACACAGACCAACCTGTGAGTGTTTAAATAAAATTATAATGCATTGGCGTTTCGCATCGCGGATACTGATGGCAACAGATGAACGCGGTAATGGTGTCAGGGCGAAATGCCACCCTGCCCTGCCCTGCCCTGCCCTGCCTGCCCTGCCCTGCCCTGCCTGCCCTGCCCTGCCCTGCCCGCCCTGCCCTGCCCTGCCCTGCCCTACCCTGCCTGCCCTGCCCTGCCCTGCCCTGCCTGCCCTGCCCTGCCCTGCCTGCCTGCCCTGCCCTGCCCTGCCCTGCCCTGCCCTGCCTGCCCTGCCCTGCCCTGCCCTGCCTTGCCCTGCCTTGCCCTGCCCTGCCCTGCCTGCCCTGCCCTGCCCTGCCCTGCCCTGCCCTGGGGGGTCAGCTCGGCTGCCACCCTGCCCTGCCCTGCCCTGGTGGGTCAGCTCGGCTGCCACCCTGCCCTGCCCTGCCCTGGGGGGTCAGCTCGGCTGCTGCCCTGCCCTGGTGGGTCAGCTCGGCTGCCACCCTGCCCTGCCCTGCCCTGGGGGGTCAGCTCGGCTGCTGCCCTGCCCTGCCCTGGGGGGTCAGCTCGGCTGCCACCCTGCCCTGCCCTGCCCTGGGGGGTCAGCTCGGCTGCTGCCCTGCCCTGGTGGGTCAGCTCGGCTGCCACCCTGCCCTGCCCTGCCCTGGTGGGTCAGCTCGGATGCCACCCTGCCCTGCCCTGTCCTGCCTGCCCTGCCCTGCCCTACCCTGCCCTGGTGGGTCAGCTCGGCTGCCACCCTGCCCTGCCCTGCCCTGCCCTGGTGGGTCAGCTCGGCTGCCACCCTGCCCTGCCCTGCCCTGCCCTGCCCTGCCCTGCCCTGCCCTGGTGGTCAAAGCACCTCTGCATATATGCAGATGCCAAACGCAACACTGACCCAAGTGACCTAAATGCAGGTCGAGCAGCGAGGTTTGGGAAGAGGATGGGGTGGGGGGGGGGGGGTGGGGGTGGGGGTAGTGCGTGTGGACGGCGTCTCAATCAGGGGGTTCATCAGAGCCTTTGTGGCCCCTTCCTCCCCGAGTGTGGAACAGACCACAGCCAGCAATGCGTTGGGGGAGAGGGGCTGAGTTGTGCCACTCCACATCCATTGAAAGAAATAAAACAATAATAAATTGGTTGTTTTCAATCCACAACTGTCTGTAGGAAACTGTTGTGCGCAATTGGCTGCCGCGTTTCGCCCATAAATATACGGTCAATTCACTTTACAGTCTATTCTGTGAAGCGCTTTGAGACATCTAGAAGACGTGAAAAAGCAGTATATCAAATGCAAGGATCATTATATTATTATAGACACATCCGAGCTTTTAAAAAACAATTTGAACAGGGCTGCTGAGCGTATCTTACATTGAGATCTCTAAACATAGCTCGGCGACGATGGCAAGCCAAGTGAGCTTGACACGTTTTAATATGCCAACACATTGAGCTTCAGTGGAATCTGTTCTGAAAGAAAGCAGTAACTTGTTTAGTAATAATGAAAATAATAATAATTCTTGCATTTGATATAGCGCCTGATCATCACATCGTCAAGACGGCAAAAAGTGCTTCGCAGAATATACTGTAACATGAATTGACTGTTTGGAAGTACAGGACAGTAGTACAACAACCACAATAAATTGCATTTATGTCTTGCCTTTCATGTCTGAAGGGCGTCCCAAGGCGCTGGACAGTTAAAAGTTTGCATCCGAGCTTCCGGTTGTAATCAAGTAGACTTGTTTGGAAGTACAGGACAGGACAACAGCAACAACAACAACTTGCATTTATATAGCGCCCTCCACACTGGGCGGCATCCCAGAGCACTTAACAATGGCAGAGTCTGATGCCGAGCCAGGGGGAGGGGGAGGTGACCATAAGCACGGTTGAAGAGGAAGGTCTTCAAGCATAACCTGAAAATGGGGAGAGAGGGGGCAAGGCAAAGGGATTGAGTGAGGGAGTTCCATAGCTTCGGGGCATAGTGGCTGAAGCACAGCTGCACACCGATGGTGGAGTGGAGGAATTGAGAAGGGATTATGGACAATGCAGAGGAGAACAGTGAGCCAGATCTTCAATAGGGATAATGTATGAGGAGTGATGAACCAGGGCACCTTAGCTTCAAAAAGAGAGATCTCAAAGGGGGCTTCAGTGAGTTATATTAGATGTGCAACATGATAAAGCAAGTAAATCCAGATGTCAGGTGGAAAATCTAGAAGCAGCATTGAAAGTCCAATAAGGAAACATAAATAGAGTTAATGTATATTACCTTTTTTAACGCTAACTGTTGTGCAGTGGGAATCGTTGGGATTGTTGTACATTTACATTGGGAGGGTGAGAAAAGTTACCTATTGAGCCCGAGCACCTATCATATCCCATTCCACCACCTCATCTTTTAACATCTCATAATGGCTGTCTTTTGAAGACTATAAGCTATAAGGGAACTTATGTTATAAGTAGGTTTCACCTTCTGCATTAACTTGCTATTGTGTCTCAAGCTATCATACATAATTAGTTTCATTTCCAGATGAAGGGCATTGGGGAGGATTTTCTTTGTATGGGACCTGACATTAACAGATTGCAATGAATGCAAAACAAAGAACTGAAAGTTAATTAACAATATTCTGCCAGTGTCATTTGATTGAGAAATTTTTAAACTCACATTTCTACTGACAAGAATTAAAAGCCAAGGTAAAAAATAATTAATATACAAGCATAATAATAAAAGTAAAACATGTTAGTTAGGCAAAAAGACAGTTTTGAAATATATATATATGGTTTTTTGCAGCTAAAGGTTGAGAATATACACACTTTTGAGATTATAAATCCAGATTTAACTTGTCTGACTTTCAATTGTTCAGTGCAAGATGATAAGATGTAGGACCAATTCAGACTCCAAATGTCAGGAAGAAATATGGAAATGTTCTTTTTGTGTTCAGTTGAAGTGGTGACCTATGCAGTAATGTCCAGATGGATGCAAGAAGCAACATTAATCAGGGGCTCACTTGATAGCTGCTTTTTCTTGGTATGCTTGACAATTCTTCTACATGCCTGTAAGAGTGCTGTGATGTGCTTCACATCTTCCACAGTGAAAG